AGGATAGGTGTGACTCGCATGAGATACGTCATAGGGATGAAAAATCCTGAACAATTTTAATATTTTTAACATTTAACATTTATCAATATATATATGATAAATATATATATTTTAGTTATTTTAATATGAAGACGGCAAGGCATGCAGTGAACTAGTTTAACGTAAATCGAATAAGCACCTGAAGATGGCACTTTTGTGCCGAAACATGTAGTGCGAGAGAGAGGAGTGAGATAGATGAGTGTATGCACTGGAAGACGGTTGAAATAAATCATGGACTTAAATCAGTGCAACAGGACGCTAAAATATAACTCTACCGTAATATTTGCACATTGCTTTAACAGCCATGGCCACTGTACATATTGGCAAGAGTACAAAGGGAATTTCACTGTACCTTTGGCTGTTTGCTATTACATCTGCAGTAGGAAGCACAACAGTGACATTTTTGTATACAAATATGCTACACATAATGCGTAACTAAAGACTGAACCTCACCAAGACTTCTAGGTTCCAATGGTTCCACCAATAAACTGTCAGCATTTGTGATTATGTACTGTCAAAGAAAATGGCACAGTACACATTAATGGTAACTATACAAATGTGTTCTAATTATAGTGTCTTAGAATTTGTGTGGAGTGACTGAGGAAAGTGACAGAGTATAGAGAGATCTAAGCTGAGAACATTAAAGTAGCTCACCGCTTCAAGTCGGCTATCCCTGAAGCTCATGCTGAGGAAGTTCTCATAGACACCCTGCATGAGACGATCATAGTCGCCACAGCACTGTACCGTCTTCAGCACACCAAGCATCCTGTAAAAATAAAATAAATTTTGAAGTCAGACAAGTAGGGCTATATTATTATTATTATTGGAGGGGGTGGGTTTCCCCATGCACCACGACTAATAGTCTATTGTACGTCCCCCTTTAATATTCTACCAGTCTCCATACCCTGCCGGTACTGGTGCTCACTATCAGCCCCGTTCAGCCAGCAAGGCTGGCTGCGGTACCCGATGCTTACCCATCTACCGGAGGCATTGGAAACTACTTGGGCGGGAAACTTTTTACCTAATAATTTTGCTCAGAGGTCTCCTAGAGACATGAGGATCTTTTACATGCCGAAAATCTACGACATGGGACCCACAGCTTATAGTCCCTCCCGGAGGACTTGTTCCCTGAATTTTTCTGCCCTTAAAAATTCCACGACCTCCGCCGGGTTTGAACCCGCGTACCTTGATTCATGAGGTGGGAACATTACCCCTAGACTACGGAGGCCGCTAACTAGGGCTAAAACTACAGACACATCTTCTGGAACATCTCAACTACCTTCCTTATATTGCCAGGATTGCACACACAGTGATAATACAGTCCTACATAATTATGACGCTTCAAACACAGGTGTGGTTCACATCTCTCCCTTCTAGCAACATACTTCCTGCTGGGACTCGTTTTCTGTCTCAGAGATATGCATGTATCTATCATTGCAACACCTACAAATAATCACTATTTTAATTAATATGTCATATGTTATATTTTTTAATTTTAATTTTGTTTATTATTTAGTATTATGTGATATTGTTTTATGATTAATGTTTAATGATTGTGACGAATGAACTTGGAGTAGTAAGAAGTGAAAGGTTGTATTTCTAACAGTGTATGTATCTATGTTGTTATGATATGGCTTGATTTAATGTTACACCATGTATCTTTTTATGTTTTGTATGAGATTGTATCAGTTTGATGAGCTCTATATCCTATGGGTGCTAAAGCCCCTGTACAGGATTTGTGGAGTTATTTAATAACAATAAACAACAATAAACAACAAAATTTTTATCCTACATTCTTCCTTAGAAAGTACAGCTAAAATACGGAAATGATTATTTGAGCTAACAAACAAACAAACACATAAAGTAACTCCTTGGTCCTCAGCATTTCCCAACATCTGACATATGCCCCATGTCACTATGAAATCTGGAGATTCGCTGATGTTACCATCAAGCTTGCCCCTATTCTGTGACAATTCAATCCACTTTACACACTGACATCCATATTAACCTATTCAAGACTTCGATGGCAATCTGCTGCTGTTGCAGCTACATTTAAATTGAATCAAGCTGTTGCCATTGTATGGTCACTTCATATTTACATTTTCTTTGGTGTGTACAGACAAATACTCTACAATGGATTGTTTGGTCAAACAGACAGAAAAGCGTAAGGCTGTCATCTCTTGATGCAAAGATTAAATACTAGCACAATCTACAAGTGAACTTCATAATGTCTCGGAGATGTGGCATTGATAAACGAAGCAGGATATTTGGTGTCACAGACAATGTTACTTTTAACCAGCAATCTATATCTAGGTGTCCCAAGAGGCCTTCCCACCTCTCAGGTCCTGCACTGCGCCCATCCCAACCAAACTTTGCTACCTATACTAACTGAAGCTGGTCTATAGACTATGAATCAGCTCAAGTTACCTCGAAGCATAAGCACAATAGACCACTGTAGGTTGCGGTGCAAGGGCCGAGAAGGCCCACCCCTTATGCAGAGTGTTTCAAAAAGAGCTTTACACCTTTGAAAGCTTATATAAATTTATACAGAGGATATACACAACGTTTTGAACTGTCATAATGTAGCAAAACACACCAAGTTTCATGCACATGGTACTGTAGTACCCAATATCGCCACCGCAAGCGCTCCCTCAGTTGAAATCAAGATGGCTACTTTCACAGGTGCAGAGTGTGCTCGTTGTGTTTTGGTTCGAGGAAATGAAGTCTACTGCACAAGTTAAAAGCAAATTTCGCACTCAGTATCGCAAGGAACCTCCCAGTAGGCCTACAATTTACTCCTGGCACAAGAAGTTTGTTCAGACTGGATGTTCTGTGTGCCATGCCAAGCCACCTGGTCAGCCACGTGTTTCTGACGCTACAGTGGAACAGATTAGGGAGAGCTTCGTTCGAAGACCACGAAAGTCAACGTGACATGCGTCTCTGGAAACTGGTATTCCAAATGTTACTGTGTGGCGAGTGTTACGAAAACGTTTACACTTAAAGCATACGAACTATCCATCGTTCAACACCTTACGGATGCAGATAAGGTGGTTCGTAAGGAATTCTGTATGCAAATGTTTCATCAGATACAAGACGATGAGAAGATTCTGCACTCCGTAATTTGCAGTGATGAGAGCACGTTTCATGTCAGTGGTAAGGTCAATACCCACAACTGCAGGATCTGGGGCTGCAAAAATCCATGTATCTCCCTGGAACATGTTCGTGATAGCCCAAACGTGAACGTGTTTTGCAACCTCAGCAAAGAGTGTACGGCCCTTCTTCATGGAGATGACCATTGCTGATATCGTATATCTGGACATGCTCCAAGAGTTCCTCATTCCACAGTTAGACGAAGATGACCAAGAAGGATGCATTCACTTCCAGCGAGACGGTGCATCCCCTCATTACCTTGGAGAAGTGCGCAAGTACCTCAACACCCGTTTCCCAGGTTGGTGGATTGGTAGAGCGGTGCTGATAGCATGGCCACCTCATTCGCCGGATCTTATTCCCCTGGATTTTTTCTTATGGGGATTCATTAAAGATCAAGAGTTCGTACCACCTTTGCCTGCAAATGCCGTTGAGCTCCGAACTCGAATTACTGCCTCAGTTGCAGAAGTGACACCAGAGATGCTACGTAGCGTGTGGCAAGAGACTGACTACAGGTGGGACGTCTGCCGCATTACCAGTGGAAGTCACATTGAACCGTAACTATCCGAGGTAAAACTCGGTGTGTTTTGCTACATTATGACAGTTCAAAACGTTCTGTATGTCCTCTGTATAAGTTCATATAAGCTTTCAAAGTTGTAAAGCTCTTTTTGAAACACCCTGTATATTCATTCATACCTTGAAGCAAGGGACATGTCATCGAACTTCATCTCGAGGGAGTTCAAGTCTGGCATTGGTTGAAGTCTGTCATCTCCTTTCGCCAAAATGGTACTGAACAGCTTCCTAAAACAAACAAAAACCATTTATATTGAAGTTTCCTGAGCAAGCAGATGCCCATACAATTTGCATACAGAAGAGCTTCTAGCCAGATAAACATAAAACTCTGTTATTTTCAACGTTTTAATCATACTAAATAAGATACAGATGTCTACAAACTTTTGGCTGATATGGACTATTAGTCACAAACAAATCTGCTAAAATTAAAGCCAGGTATATATGTGAGCTACCAAGATTTTGTTGGGAGGTGGGGGAGGGGTAGAAAATTTGCCTACAGATTTAAACTTAAGACATTTTAAGGATTATTTTTACTGACTAACTTAGAACATTCAACTTAGAAGAATGACCTTAAGAAAATATAGTTCATTCTTGGTCCTAACATTTAGTACAGTTCTACTTTTCAGTTTTTATTTCTTCCAGGGACAGCAGATGCCTGCTTTAACCCCCACCCCTCTCTCAAAAGTACAGAATTTTGTGCTCTTATGTTTATGGTGCTATATTAATTTACACAACTTCAAGTTGTACAATTTGAAGTTCTCACAGTGGTGGTTATGAAGAATTCCATCTTCTGGGACATAACACTGTGTAGTCCACTGAAAGTCGACTAACCAATGCTTCAGAAGAACGTGTCACCTCCAGCTTCTGGGTGGGAGAATAAGCCAAGCAAGAAATCAGGGTAAACAAGGGTGAAGCAGGCAGAAAGCAGAGCTCTGCTATCTGCTTCATACTGGTTACTTGTTTCGCTTATTCTTCGACCCTGAAGATGGAGGCAACATGTTCTTCTGAAATGCCGGTTGACTTTCAACAGACAACATGGCATTATACACCAGAAGACAGAACTTCTCGCACCTTCAAGATATTTTCTATTCATGTTCATATTAGTTACTTACACCTACAAGCACGTGGTACTTGAAACAAATTTTTTTGCACATCATATAGTTATTACGTGTATAACCGAATTCCTATTTAAGTTATCTAAATTTAAATTTTTTTTCAGTCCAATTGACTGTTCAACTATACCAACACAATAAATCACTGCCAGGAAGTCACAGAAAAACGCAACACCCGGCACCATATTTCTGTTTCATACAATCACAATACTGAAGACAATCGATTATTTTNTTACGTGTATAACCGAATTCCTATTTAAGTTATCTAAATTTAAATTTTTTTTTCAGTCCAATTGACTGTTCAACTATACCAACACAATAAATCACTGCCAGGAAGTCACAGAAAAACGCAACACCCGGCGCCATATTTCTGTTTCATACAATCACAATTCTGAAGACAATCGATTATTTTCTATTGGAATTTCTGATGATGTTTGATCTCGTGCACGAAATAAAAATATCAAATTTGGCACCTTCATGCACTCAGATCTTAGTTTTACCCCCTATATTACAATCTTGTCAACCCCAGGGTCATAGTGCAGCTGGAAGGATTAGGTCAATTGAAGAAATCCACCTCATCGGGACTTGAACCTGCAACCTTCCAGCTTGTAGCATAGTGCCTCAACCAACTATGTTACTGTGTGGCGCCTGCAAATCAGTAACAGTGTTGTAATTATTTGCAGTTACAACTTGTTAAGCATCCAATAAATCCAATTACCAATCCAAACCCTGTCTTTAGTCACTGCAACATGTGACAGTACTCACTGACATGAGAAGTTCAACTCTCCCATAAATACTACAACTGTTTTGTGGTCCTCAGGTATGAAATTATTTACATTTCCTGTCACCAGTGTCATACTTTTTCACTTCCCTCACCTGAAAGTAGAATTATTATGTACCAATCCAAAATGTCTGCTAGAAGGGTTCTCTAATCTAATGATTACAAAATTTTGTTTGTGAACCCTTCGGAAGCAAAAATTCTTCCAGGGGAGTCACAACATTTTACACAAATATTATTAAGGTAAATTTATAAAAAGACAAAAATGAGATGTTATAGTTTGTGCAAAGCTGTAAATGCATGTTGAAGTGCAAGTCAAAACTATAGTTTAAGGTGAAACAATATCTTATGTACATGTCTGCTTGTTCCTTTCAGTATGGTAAGATCTTTTTATCCCAAATGTGTGTGAAGCAGTTTCTTACCTCCTGGGGCGCTGTATCTGGAACACCTCCTGCCAGACAGAAAACAAGCCTTTCTGCATATCCTTCTGCCCGATGCTACTTTTCTGAATGTCAACCAGGCGGACATCTTTCTTCCGGGACTTGAAGAAGTGCAGCACAGAGAGACATGATCGGATATCATTGTGAGACTTTTCGGCAAGAGCTAAAAGTGCTCCCATATCAGTCCTGATGCACTGCTTGCGAGCAATTTCCAGCAGCCGCTGTGCTAACCTGCACGCAGTACCAAAACACTCAAATGGAGTCAAACAGCAGCAAAGTTTTCCAAGTTTCCTCATGTAACTCGAGTCCTGCAAAAAGCTTCATTTCAAATTCTACCAGAACAGCCCATCCATGAGCCAAGTGCCAATTTCTATGACATATTACAGAGATAAAGGGATAAACAAAACATACCAAGCAAACATAACAGCAGTGATGCTAACCTTGAGGAAGCTGTTGGAGGAAACTGGACAATGAGTGCGATCTGTCTCAGTGACCGGAGAGCTGGAACGTACACATCATTACAGATGCATATGACTGGCCGTTTTAAGACACCACCACCACGCCCCTTCTTTTTGCTTCGTGCCCCTCTGCCTGTGTCTTTCCCCAGCACAAATTTTATGAGAACATCTATGGATGCCTGCAAGTAGAAGTTTATGTCAACATGACACACCAGTATCCAATGGTGCAATTCTATGGTCACAGCTATGGACTTCCAGGTTTTATAACATGCTAAGTCTGCTTTTGTCACTGCAGAATGATGAAAATGGTTCTTCTTCTTATTCTAGTCATAAAATTAGACCAATAAATGACCTGTTTCACCCTCAGGATTGTAACTGTGTAGTAGTCTCTTTAAAAGCAGTCCAAGTCCTTGCATTCCGATGGGTCAATAATCAACATGTTGTTTTAGTCGTCTATGTCCACAATCCTTCTAACGTGGTCTAACCACACAAGTTTTGAGGTTCTAATGGCAGTAAATATTATGATTATGATACCATACACACTGGTGTGTGGTTACCAATGTTTTGGAAGAACATACTGGCTCCGTGTCTACCTCTGGAACATGTTGGTACCCACCTACCAGACTAAATATCCCATAAGGTCACAATCAAAATCCTACCACCATGATAACCTCAGACTTTATGCGTATTCCAGTATTGTAAAATTTAATGTAGAGTTGTCCCATGCTTAATTAAGCGCCATGCCATGAAGATGTATAAGTATTAGCTCCACCATCCTTGAGTAGTCGGTTTCATGCCTCTGTTGCTTTACACCCAAAGAAAGAGCTGCTGGTACCCACTAGATAGGAGGCTGGGTGGGTCTCAGAACTAGTCAGGACACCACAGAGATGAGAAACATCTGCCCCTGCCAGGAATTGAAACCTGACTCCTCAGTCATCCAGCGTATGGTCTTGTTTCTATACCACCTGAGCCATCCTTGCTCCATTCCAGTGATATGTGAATATAAATTCTAACCCCTTATATCAATTTCAAGTCTAATATCTGGGGAACAGGGCTCACCGCAGGGGCACCATCAATCTCGTCCAGCACCAGGCAGTTGGGTCGTGGCTGCATGCCCATTACGGACCTCATCTGTGTAGCTGCCTCCAGCTGAGTCCGGAACACATCTGGACTCCTGTCATCACTAGCATTCACCTCCACTACGTTGTAACCTGCATGTGTGCTGACCATGTGGGCCAGTGTTGTTTTCCCCAGGCCTGGCGGCCCACACAGTAGAGCGACCTTCTGCTGCGGGCAGCCATGTTCATCCAACCCATCATTCAACACATGACTAAGCTTCTTCTGGAAGCGGTTCTCTGCAAGAAAGGGAATACACAATGATTTGTGCACATCTTACTCGTAACTAAGTTACAGTCTGCTAATGACATATTTGTCAGTACATTAAACAATAAAGATTCTGTAACGTGGAACTTGGTGATTTATGTACTTCACCTAATCTTGTTAAGATAGTCACAACAAGTAGCTTAAAAGTAAATGGATATTTAGTTTAAATGCATGCAGAATTTTGGTTAGGGAACATTTTGGAATGTGAGAATGTGAGGATTCAGTTATTCAGTATAGAGGGGGTGGGTTTCCCCATGCACCGCGACTAATAGTTTATTGTACGTCCCCCTTTAATTTCTACTGTTTCCATATCCTACCGATACTGGTGCCCGCTATCTCCCCTTTCTGCCAGCGAGGTCGGCCCTCTACTGGCAGTGGTACCCGATAACTCTCCCCTTTCTGCCAGCGAGGTTGGCCCTCTGCTGGCATTGGTACCCGATAACTTCCCCATCTACCGGAGGCATTGGAAACTACTTGGGCGGGAAAATTTTTGCCTCATTTAGCTCAGAGGTATCCTAGAGACATGAGGATCTTTTACGTGCTGTAAATCTAAGACACGGGACCCATGGCTTAAAGTCCCTCCCGGAGGACTTGTTCCCTGAATTTTTCCGCCCTTAAAAATTCCACGACCTCCGCCAGGTTTGTACCCGCGTAACTTGAGTCATGGGGTGGGAATGTTACCCCTAGACTATGGAGGCCGCTAAGAATGTGAGGATAATAGTAAACTGGGTGTTCGGAAAAGTTAATTGCAAAGACAAGAACTAGAAGACTGATTTTTCTGTTCTTCATATTTTACACAACATCCCAGCATTTCCTGCAGACAGGGACTTAAACAATATTTTCTGTGTACACATGTAGAGAAGTGTGTGCACACAGTCTCACTAAACACAGACACCATCACTCACCATTTTTGCTGTCAACCTTGGCCTTCTGCTTGACTTTCCTGTCTCGGTTAAACACAATCTTGTCCCACAGCTTCAGCCAGTGCAGAAGTGTCCTGTTGGCACCCTACAGTTTACAGGAACAGAATTACACTAAAATAATTAATCTATTCTTCCTGATCATTTACGTAGCTATGAAAATTAGTATACAGAAGACAGAAAAATAACATAGAGGTGGATACAGAAAAAACATGAGATAAACAAAGTATGGAAGAGTCTGGAAGTGGCTAATGTGAAGCGGAAAGTCCCATGCCTGATGTCACAGTGCAGTGAATAGGGAATTGGAAAAGATTTGGAAGGACGTGGTCATGGTGTAATTTAAAGTAAATTTTCCTGGTGAGACTGAGAATGAACACAGTAGGATTCTTGACTGAGATTTAAATTTGGCACCTTCTAAACATGAATTAGTGGCACAAAACACATGATTGTGATGTTCAACCCTGAGGCCCTGAAGCACAATCTAGACACAAGGGATTATTTTCTTTGGTCATCAGTCTTACTCATCACTCACAACAAAGTTTCTTTTCTTTTCTGCAATATTATTTGTATGATATACAATAAAATGACCAGCTTTTCTTGCATTCTGACACAGTATACATGTTTCCTGTGGGGTCCGTGCCAAAGAATTATAAGAGATTCCAGAATAACCGAGAAGGCAGTCCAGGAGGGTTGAGTTGAGAGTTCACTTCTGTACAGGAGGCTGTGAAGAAAAGAAATGCAAGAGTGCAGCTTTGAAAAGAAGATTTTATGTATAATATTTGGAGTGTCTAATTCAGTGAGACTGTTACAGTTCCTGGGTTATAAATGTTATAATTTCAGTAATCCTTAGAGTGTTATAATTAACTGTAAGTACAACTAGTAAGTGGTAAATAAATCCGATTACCAATCTGAAACCTGAAACCCGTTTTTAGTCACTCCTACACATGACAGCTGGTGTCAGAAATGGGATTGGATTTTATTGATTGTATCTGTGAAAGAAGGTATACCACTATACTAAGAAAACTGAACAAATAATGGCAATGATGGACGAGATAACTGCCACCCAGAAATTGATGTTAGCAGAAATGAAAGCTGACCAAGAACAAAGGACAGCCTGTCAAGAAGTGATGGAGGCCAATCGAGAGAAGATGGAGCCATCTCCAGAAATGATGTAGTCAGCAGGGGAGCATTGTGAGGTCCCTATGGAAGGGGTCAGAGTGAAATCTTTTGGAAAATGAAGAAGTGGCACAGAGGCCAGCATCTATTTGCAGGGTGATGAAGAGAGCTGAAGGAACTGACCCGAGGAGATTGTGGATCCAGGAGGAAGTTGGCTGCAGGAAGGTGTCTCCTTGTGCAGCAATGGCATGATGCAAGAGAAATGTCTTCAGGAAAATTCAGACCCAGGGATGGAAATTGGGGACTGTGGAAGAAATTGGCTGCAGCTGGCAGGAAGAAGACCCACTGTGCAAAAGTGGCACAGTCATGAAGGACCATCAGTTGAACAGGGACAGCGGAAGAATCAGACCAGGAATTTGCATGAGGAACCCAGAAAGGATGGACACTTCGAAAGAGACAACTGATGCACCAGGAAGGCACCAATGGAATCAGGAACCAGGACTTCGAGGAGCAGCTATGGCTTGGAAGTGAGAGGACAACCAGCGGGATCAACAGGAAGGCCATCGGGCTTGAGATTGTGAAGCAAGCAGTAGGGATTTCCAGTGGGTCATGAAAAATTAGGAACTGGACCTTGTGGACCTCCAAAACTTAAGAAGAACCTAGTAGCAATACTAGCAATGCTGCAATAAGGGGGGAAAAAGAAGAGCAATGGTAAGGAAGGTGAGGTGAAATCAAGTGCAGGCCTTGGAAGAAGGAAAGGCGGTACACTGATAGGCTACTTGGGATGAGCAGCCTTAAAGAGGGAGCAATGTAACAGATTTGATCAATGCATTGCCAGATAACAGCTCGGTAAACACCGTCCAACATGCAACAATAGATGAGGCTGTGTTTTCTATGTCATCCGCACCACACACAGTGCTGGTAACAGACCAATGAACTCGCAGTCTGACATGTGACACGCATTTTCTGTGGGGTCCATGCTGAAAAGCATTATAAGAGGTTCCAGAATAACCGAGAAGGCAGTTCAGTGAGACTGTTACAGTTCCTGTGTTATCAATCCATCACCAGGAACAGATAGTGAAAACATTATTTATGTTATAATTACAGTAAACCTTAGTGTTATAATTAATTGTAGCTATGACCGGTAAGTGGTTAAGAAACCCAATTATCCAAACCCCATTTTTAGTCAGTCTTACACATGACAATATTATATTTGTAATTGGATGGGACTTCTGTAGAGGTACACAATAAACTGATTAAAATATAGTAATGTGGCATATTTGCTCTAGCAGGAACTGTTCAGCCACAGAGACCTTGGGGCATGCGCACATGGGAGAGTAGTGGCGTGTCGCTAGGCGACAACTCTGTGAACGCTTGGATAGCGTAACAGGAAGTAGGGGTCATGTGACCTCTGCTTTTCTGCAAGTGATGTCACATACCCCCACCCAGCCCATCGCTACTCGACACTTGGTAAACACCCTTCCACGCTAGGCTGTGACGTCATACAACAGTGATAGCTATCACATAACTGGTTTCTATGGAGTCTGCTGCTGGGCAATTGCTCAGTAAACACGTTCCAACAATATGGGCTGTTTTCTGTGTGGTCAGTGCGGAAGTGATATAACGAGAGTATCTGTCAGTGTTGAGGCAGCAGAAGTCATACAAAATCATGATAACGAACATGTTCGCGGTATAGGACAAGGTGAAGCCAGACAAAGAAAATATAAGTGGCTTAAACTTGGCAGTGGTCAAGCTTATGACCGTTCAAATGACTAAGTTTTCATTGCAGCATAAGATCTGTAAGTTAGGCATGATCTGCTCTGTAAAGCCTGTACCGACAGGGGACTTGTGTGTAAAGCAAAAGGAAGAGTTTTTGATAACACATCATATGTGTGAAATATACATTTGACGAAAGGTCGAATGTATTCATAAGAAACAGACCCATCTTCTCGCCAGAGAGGATGTTACATAAGGACTATTACCACATGAGTTCAGTTGGAAAAAAAAAAAAAAAAAAATCTCTGGTCGCGGGCCTCAAGGGGCCTGATGCCAAGACGAGGTGATTGGCGGTAAACCGCAAGTCGTAAAATAACTCTGACTCTGACTCTGTTGAGCCAGTTAAGAGTAGTTGAGAGTTTTGGTGTGAGTGGAAATATGGTGATTTCTCAAGATAGAAATTTGGAGATGTCTGCACAGCATCCAATTTGTTCAATTATATTGAAAATTGTAAGTCCCATGGAAATTGTGTGGTGAATATGAGATTTGCAATCCATTTTTCTCTACAGTTTTCATTCGAAAGATTTTATGCTCTGATAAATATACTATTTAGCTAGGCCGTCAAGTTAAATCATAACTAACAAAATAAGAATTGAAATGGTTGAACAAGTCTTAATAAAATTTTCCAGTATCAATGTTCATGAGAATTTTCCAGATGTTCTCAAGTCATTTCATGTATATAAACAGTCAGTTGGAAGTGATGAGTGAACTTAACAGATGCTCCATAAAGTTGCTAAGTCCTAAAATGACACAAATAAGACAGAAACTTGATAATCCAAACACATATATTCAGGAGTATAATGAAATGCAGAAATCAAAAGTTGCTGACAAAGAAATTATCTGTGTTGAAGTTTCCAGTGCAATGATTTCTCAGACTGTGGTCTTCTGGTTGTTGTAAACCAATGTTTCGGAGCAACATCCTGCCTTTGTCTTCAGGATCAAAGTGCATAGTGTGAGGAATCGGTTCAGTTACATGGGTATGTAGCTTGGAAGGTGGCCATTTGGATCCACAGAAAGGGGACAGCAGAGACAGAGTCCAGACTGTGCCAACAGGAAAATGGCTCTTCTCAGGGCCACAATACTTTTCTCATTGCAGTTGGGAGATGGAATCCTCTGTAACATTAGTATCTAAGTATCAAACTACAACGTCACAGCCCAAAAATGCCAATTCAAGACTCCACCTGCCCAGAAACAAGTCTGACTGATTCAGACATTAAGCTAATCCTCATACAAAGACTTATTACAAGCACTGGGCAAATGTTCATGCCCAGGTTTATATAACCATTTGCAAAATAAATCTCTAACTTGTGCCAAAAGAGTTAACAGTCTTGGGAGTAGCAAGAATTGTCTGAACAGAAGTCAGAGAGATGTTGAGAGCAACATTTGTAACATGATTCAGCAGAAAGAGGAGACCTAAGAAATCAACTGCAGAACAGTTACTGAAGGGTAAAAACTTCACTATTATAATTCATATACATCAGAAGTTTCTTGTTTCATGAATTCCTGTAATAATAACCTACAAGAGGATCATCTTTAGTTGATACAGTATCACAATGAATATCACCTCATCACTCAGCAATTCCAGATAGCTCTTTGGTCTGTATTTCTCTACCCAGAGGTCAGCACTGTCCTCTTCCTCACTCATGGTCTCGCATCCTGAATCAGTGTGCTCTGTGGCAGGCTCGCTGGACCTCTGCTCAGCTTCCTCTTGGTCCAGCTTCTTTTGTATCTGCGCCAGAAACAAGATAACCAGCCTGCAGAAACACTGCCTCAGTTTTTCAAGAGTTATTTATACAGCAAACGAAACTGATATTGTTCATCTGAAATTAAATTTCTCCTTTGCACAATATAAAATTTGTCTACTTCATATCTTTTCTACCTTGAAGATGGAGACGGCATATTTCCTCCAGAATCCTTGGTACATACCTTACCAAAAAACAGGGTTATTACGTCCCAGAAACCCATAATCTGAGCACTTATTCCATTCATACAATGAAAACTGCTGGGTAAAAAAATAAAAGTCATGTCACAATGCTATCAGTATCTAGACTACAAAGTAGTAGATGGTAGGATGACTGATGAATCAGAAAGAATTTGGAAGGAAGTGGTCATGGCCTAATGGAGGTGATATCCCAGGTTCTAGCTGGAGGGACTGAGAAAAACCATAAAAATCTTGTCAGGACAGTCAGTGTCCTATGTGTTTCCATGGCCTGTTACAAGAATAGTTTTACCATTTTTCTACCAATGAAAGCTGATTTCTTATACAGAACTGCTTTGTTGTGTGACTGGCTTCTTAATAGTACAAGTTTGTGTCTGCAGTAAACAAATACATGGTATATGAAATCATAAAGCACAGAGCTGGAAAATATGCGTACACAAAGCTGAATGTTCTTTCCATGCAGGTTTTGTTCTTCCTTGGAACTGTTCATATCCACTGGATTGTGAGTGATTATGTTGCATGCACTTACATAGAGCTGGGCCTGTTCCCACAGTGTCTGGTACGGGACGGAGAGAAGCCCCACAGTACGGCTCTGCGCTGTGATGCTGCTGATCTGTTCACACAAACAAAATAACTTGAACCATCAGGCTCCACTGCCTCATGTTTCTTCAGTTCTAAACCAATAATCAACATTTCAAACACAAAAATTACTTTTCCCCCCACAGAAGTACAGAAACCAAGAATATTTATAATTCTGTATTTCAGCATCCTGTTGCACATCTTTAATTAAACATCTATGTACTTAGTCCGTCAATAATGCAATAATCATTAAAATATTCATCATTCGCCACCAACACATGTTTCGGCCACAGATGGCCATCCTCAGGTGTTTCAATGTGTCTAAACTGTTACACTGTTTTGATGCATGCTAAAATTGTGCACTGCAGTCCACGTAAGTTAATAAAATTCTAGCCACCTCGTAAAGGGTGTCATCCGCTTGTTAAAGCTATGTGATGCGTGTATTCCAGACAGTCTATTTCAGCAGCTACATCTGTGATCTGCAATCTACAAATTACCACATGTTAATATTGTTTTCTGATTGTTATTAATGTTATGTTATATTGATTTGCTTTATACTCACATGCCCCTTGTTTGCATGTTGTTCCCTCGGGCATCATGTGGTGTTGTCTTCACTAGTGCAGGTGCAGTGTGTTTGTTCCCATATTTATATGCCCTGGTTGTGAGGAGTGGGGAGAGGTGAGGCAGGGTATAGTGTTATGTTGTGCAATTCATATATAATACTTCAACTATAGGACTGTGTACATCAATATTAGTGTTGTCCATTAGTAGGTTTTCTTTACTTGTTTTGTAAATATAATATTTCTCATCAATACTAGCAGAAATATATGAGAGGGGACCCCACCCCCACCCCCAAAAACGAAATTTGTTTATAAAAAATTCTGTATATTTTTACATAACAAAACTGTAATCCCCTTCAAAGTACTCTCCGTCTGATTCAAAGCACTTGTCCAAACGTTTTTCCATCACTCAAAACATTTTTTAAATTCATCGCTGTTGTCGCCTTTCAGTGCTCGTCGTTTTTTCTTTATGCCTTCAACATCAGCAAAACGTTTTTCCTTGCGGTCTCTTTTCATCCAAAACACAGACATTTAATTGAAGAATATTTATACTGTACTCTTTTGACTGATGCGGTGTGATGAAGCCAGTGCTGCAGAGGAACACAACCCCTCAATCTCAAGGGCAAACATGAAGGCAGTGAGTTCCTCCACAACACTGCTACCCATCTATCAGACTGCATTATATTCACTGGTGTAAAAATCTTAGATCTTAAGTACATTTACAGTACACCCCCTTCATTCATTAGAGGCGTTATAGTATCTACTGACTGCAGGCTCAGCCCACACACCTGTTGCTCAAAGTACTCCTCAGAGCGCAGTCTGACGTACATCCGCTCTCCATTGCTGCAAGCCACAGACACAAATGGATAACTGGGCACCCTCCATGTTATGCTGCTGCTCTTCCTGCATTCAGAAAGAAAGCTATCCTGACTGACAGGAAGACATCTGCACAAGATATTCTGTGTTTGAATATACCACACTTTCCCAAACAAAAATGCAATATGTACAGTGTCAAATAATGGTATGATTACAGAATAATCAAATGGGAAATGGAAAAAAGTGGCTGAGGTACTACCCCAGTACTTAGGCAGCTGGAATAGCGCAGTTTGTATAACAACTGGCTACAGGCTTGGCAACCGAGGTGTCGGAGTTTGAATCCTAGTAGGGTCAAGAATTTTCTTTTATCCACAGTGTTCAGACAGGTTGAGACCCACCCAACCCTCTATCAAATGGGTACTGGAGGCTCTTTCCCCAGAGGTAAAGGGGCTGGAGAGTAAAGCTGACCATTCACCTCCAAATAGTGATGAGGTAAGAAAATGTGGAGCTATACACCCACTCCCCCATATGCCTTCATGGCATAGTGCTTAGTTAGTTAAGCACGGGGAAAACTTCACCTTATCCCAGTATTTGCCTGGAGGGACTTAGAAAAACTGTGAAAAGCTCAATCAGGACAGTCTCTAGGCTGAGATTTGAACCAGAGACCTCTTGAATACTGGGAAGTTCTACAAAATACATGAATGAGAATTACCAACCACTCAACCCTGATGTCCAGGATACATGACAGCTCAACCTGTAAGGTGACTGGCTACTACTGTGACATTCGGGGTTCAAATGCTAATCGCAGAACTGAGAGTTCTTTCTCCTCCAGTGTGTCCAGACTGGTTCAGGTGCCCACTCAGCCTGCATCCAAGCACTGACTCCTTCTCTGAGGTAAAGTAGCCATAGCCATAAGCCAACCACTCACCTCCATCCAGCAGTGGAGTAAGCAAAGCAAGAGGAAAACCGAGAGAACTATTTGCGCTGGTTTCTTGCTTGGCTTACTCCTCTACCATGAAGATGGCTGTGATATGTTCCTCTGGAACATCAGGCCCTCTCAAACTCCATGGTATTACAACTCAGAAGACTGTACTTTTCATAGTCACCACTGTGAGAACCTCAAATACAGACCTTTTGTCTTCTTGTGGTTGTCTAGATTAACCTCATGAAAAATGCAGTTTATACAAATAATATTTCAAAATTCAATTCCTCCTGTACAGAAAACACACTATGTAAATACATAAAGTTCATGTACTTAACTAATTAAGCACTAAGCCATGAAGGTGTATGGGGAAGTGGATGTATAGATCCACGTATTCTTGATCTCGACATTAGTCGGAGGTGAGTGGTCAGCTTCATGTGCTGGCTGTTCCCCCCCCCCACCCTGCCCCCCAGAAATAGCCCTGGTACCCACTGGATAGGAGATTGGGTGGACCCCAGAGCTGGTCTGGATAATGTGGAGAGGAGAAAAGTCTTGCCCCTACTAGGACTCAAATCCAACCCTTCAGTCATCCAGCCTCTAGCCAGTCACTATACCGACTGCACTCCAATACAAAGACCAACCAAACAGTATTGTAACAGGATATCTGAAATCCAGAAGCCACAGCAGTATCAAAGAGTCATTATTTACTGGGTGAAGAAAGCACAAATCTCCACTAGTCATAACTGCAGAGGTACTGCCAGTAACAATATCGCTTAGGTAGCCCCTACTACACAGTACAAAGAAGCACGACAGATGTGTCATTATTGGAGTCAAATCCTATTCAGTCTGTAACAATGGAGTACAGAGGAACCAAACCAGAGAGTCTAAATGGGTGATTGCAAATGAGCACGAATGGCTGTAAACACTTACAGATATATCTACGTCTGACCAGAACCCACAGCGTTGTCATTTCTCATGACAGTATACTGAAGTAAGAGAACCATACAAAATACTTAAATACACTGTGTGGGCAAAATGCAAAGTTCTCTAATGTTAAGGCAGGTGATATCTATAGTTACCACTGTGAGTGCTAGTAGATACAGTATATTCTTAATGCAGTGTGAAAACTGGGATTGTTTTCTGTAAGATGAATCATGACCTGCTGGACTCCAATTCCATCGAACTGTCACACTGTGTGTCGCAAGCAAAGAAAGAAACCTACAGACTGATCTGTTTGACATTTCCATACACAGACCAAAGTCCTTGAGAAGCTAACAGTTGCTCAGCTACTCCTTTTACGGAACCCATGAGTTCATTACCGTGTTTACAAGAGCCTGAAACTGGACCCCATCTTGAACCAAATGAATCTAGTGCACACCATCTCCTTGAGAAGCTAACAGTTGCTCAGCTACTCCTTTTACGGAACCCATGAGTTCATTACCGTGTTTACAAGAGCCTGAAACTGGACCCCATCTTGAACCAAATGAATCTAGTGCACACCATCTCCTCCCATTTCTTTAAAATATGTTTTCATATAATCTTCTAGTATCTTCTGTATTATTACAAGTCGTTTTGTTCCTTCCCATACTCTAAGCAAAATGTTATATGCATTTCTCAGTCCTTCCATGTATGCTACATGCCCATACCATCCTCTTTGATTTGATCATCCTAGTAATATGTAGTAAAACATACAAATTATGAAGCTCCACATTATGAAATTTTCTTCACCCTCCTGTTACATCCTCTCTCAGGTTCAAATATCCTCATCTGCGACCTCAGTCTATATTAGTCCCTCAATGTGATTAACACACATAATGAAGTTTCGCACAAAATATGTAGCCATATTTATAATCTTGCACTGCACCAAATTCCAGCTGTCCCAGACTGACAGATAAGTAAACTGGACATGTTACTTTACATTTCGCACAAGAGTTATGTTAACAAAACTGCATATTCTTACAGGATGAAGACCTAACATGAAAGGGAACAGTGTTGTTCCATTGCCAGATCGGTAGCGTTTACTAGAGAGGACAGGATGGAGCAAAATGCCTACTATTCAAAAGGCATTAGTGTAGGTCAGACATCTGACAGTGTTCCAAACTTGCCTCTGTACAGTGTGATGCTATGACATCAGAAAAAAAGTATCTTACACTTTTGAATATGGCGAGTCACCGAGGACATGTTGGGTCTGTGTCTGAGCTTGAACCTCTCGCCTCTGTGACTTGATCCTCTTGATGAGATCTGCATCGGACTCCATGATGGCTTGCTTTTGTCTCTTTGCTGTGAGGATCACAGATTGATACAGCATGTTACAGTGCTACATACCAGCTGAATTGGGGTTTCATGTGTTTTTCAATGAAACTATAGAATAATGCTATAAAATAAACTGCTTCTCTGTTTCATTGTTCATAATTCTGCCATATAATACAGCACATATTGTACCACATTAATTTTGTGGATTAACCACAAATAGAAATACCTGTTCTTCACCCCGTATATGGTAGCTTTTCTGTCAATATCATAATATACAGTAGCTGGAACTTTAACAAGGAATAACACTCAAACTGGGAAATTAAAATGTATTCATGTAATTAATAGAAAGATTGGGAATGTTCAAAACACATCTAAAACTCCACTGCAATATTTGTATATGGCTTTAACAGCCAAGGCTACTGTGTGTACTGGAAAGAGTGTGCAGTCAAGTTAGTAACATCATCAGGTTTCTCCATTTGGTCCATGAAGTACAGAAATCTGAAGAAACAAGACAGTACATTTGTGTGTATATTAAATTACAGTTTCTGTCTCCCAACATTTTTGTCCGCGAACTCTGATTCCTTTCTCATGTGCCTGATCCCTCTTCGGATCATCATCAGTTGAAAAGAGCTACAAAGGGATCATGGCACACACGGTAGTGTGGCTGGTTCAGGCACTGTGTTATAAGCTGGAATGTTGCAGGTTCAAGTCTCAATGAAGTCATTGGCTTTCTCAGCATACCTAAACCTTCCAGCCGCACTATGGCCCTGGGGTTGACCCAGCCTCTGAAATAAGTGCCAGTAATGTTACTGGTGGGGTAGAGGGTGGCAGGCATGTAAGGCTAACAACCTCACCACCATCTGTGAGCAGACTGTCTACATAATGTGGGACACTCAACATCTCACTACTCTATTGGCGTTCATGGTCTGTTATAGGGATAGCTTTACCTTTTTACCTTACAAAGGGATCATTCCAACCAATGCCTGGGTTCTAACCCTCATATGTTAAATGGTGCCAACTTTTTAACAATTTTGCCTTCCTCTAATGCCGTAAAAAAAAAAGCTATCCCTGTTACAGGCCGTGTAGGCCTATAGGGTTGTGAGATGACGAAGCTCCCACATTTTCTCTAGGCAATCGGTTCACAGATGGCAGTAAGGTTGTCAGCCTTATGTGCCAGCCGTCCTTTACCCCCCAAGAAGATTCCTGGTAGACATTTCTGTTAGAGGCTGAGTCGACCCCAGGGCCATAGTACAGCTGGAAGGATTAAATAAAATGAAAATGTCCACCTCATCGGGACTCGAACCTGTGACCTTCCAGTTTGGACAACAGTGCCTCAACCTACTACACTATTGCATGCCACCATAATCCTATCATACATAATTTAAAACACAATAAACTTATATCATTTAAAAAGGCATTAAGATCTTAAATATGTTCAACCTCAAACACAACAATGTTTTTATTGATTAATTTAAAAACAACATATGTTTTGATCCTTAGAGGGTCATCTTCAGGTATTCTTTAATACACAATTTGATTTCTGACTTTGAAACATGTGACCTTATATCACATCTACTAACTTTTACTTGGCCGTGCCATAGCTCAAGCGGTTAGTCGCTGGCCTCCCACCGCGGCGGCCCAGGTTCGATCCCGCGTCTGGTCAAGTGGGATTTGTGGTGGACAAAGTGGCGCTGGGGCACGTTTTCTCCAAGTACTTCGGTTTCCCCTGCCAATCTTCATTCCACCAATTGCTCCACAATCACCCTCACCTATCATCTGGGGCTGGTACAATAGGCCAGAAGTAGCCACAGTAAAAGGGACTTGTGGTCCCATTTTCACGGTGTTGATCTTAATTAATCAATAAAAACATTGTTGTGTTTGACAGCTGAATGTATTTAAGGTATTAATACCTTTCTGATTGTAATACACACAACAGGATGCAAACAATAAAAAAACTAATATCACTTATTAAATCCAATAGCATCCTATATATGGAGTTTTAATCTAAGTTTCCTATATCAGTCAACTTCTTCTGTACTGGTACACATGCAGTTTGAGGTTATCATGGCAATGACAATTACAGGTTATGATACCATACAGTATGGTAGCAGATTATTAAATTCTACCTTGAAGATCAAGGCTGCATGTTCCCCCAAAATATTGGTACCTGTGTACCAGACTACATTACGCCACATCCCAGACAGCCGCAATCTCACAGTTCATGTCAGTTTGCATCATGTGCTCCTGTCCATGAACTGCTCAGGGTGGCCTACCTAAGTTTCTTACTGACAGGTTTCAGCAGTACTCTGTTGTCCGAATGGCATACTAGCTCAAAAGTATACTGTCATTAACTCCTGAAAACACAGTGGTTACTATCTGCACCACCTGTTTTAAAACACAAAATCTCTGCATATCTGCCACAAAGAGTATTTATATTTCATATAATTCACACACTATGCAGTAACTACTTTTCTGAAGAGTATTAACTGGCTGGTCTGTGTAATGGAGATGCGCTGTTTTCTGTGAGATAGGAATTGAACTTTTAAATATAATTTAGATGAATTTCATGCTTCAAAGGAACAGGATCAATGTTTTTCTGCTAGCCTCTTAGAAGTACAATCTTTCATTTGTATCTGTTAACTTTCCCACTTAATACAAATTTTTATAACACTGAAAGTATGTTCTGCTATGCCAGATTCAAAGCCTGTATTTAACATGTGCAAACAGGTCAACAGAGGAACTGAAACGTGTTCAGAAATGCTGATAGAAAGGATAACTTTCAATAAATTGGGACCACCAACTCTCATAAACATAGTAGCTGACAGAGTATTATAAAATAATCAATAAATATAAACTCATCTTATGTTAACTGAACAATTCATAGAAAAATGGAGAGACTTGCACCCTAGATACTCAGAGTGGCCTACTTACAGAACATGTCCAAACAGTCTCTGTCTTCAAGTTCAATATCGGCAATGTCTCCAAATAGCTCCTCAACTTTTCTCTTCCTCTCACTGCGCTCAGAAGGTCCAATTTCAGTTTGTGGGAGTGCAGTTTGAACCTGTGCATTTAGAGTTAGGATTACATCTAGATTTGTACAAAATTCACTTAAGTTGGATACCCCTGTATGAAGACTGCCTCTTACAATCACATTTCTTGTTTACATTCTAAGGCTCTAACAACCAAGGCAAGGCAGACTGACAGCAACACTGATATAGCATACTGGATCTGAGATTCCCACAGCATCGACAATGGAGAAGGGCACTAATTTCTGTGATCTGATGCCATAAAGTCTGGTATAAGTTCACTGACAGCTGGGGAATGTACTGCGCTCTGTTTGTTACTTGAGTGGCTTACTCTTCAACCTAAAGTACATCCCCTAAAAATGTCAGTAAACTTCTACACCACATGGTGTCATACCCTGGTAGGGGATCCTTGAACTGCAGGACCTGCAGACAATTGGTGGCATTCCAGTACCATTCAAGCATAATTCTTACCTCCAGCAGTTGACATTCTGTGTCATCATCAGCCAGCTGCTCTGCCCTAGATGCTGACGGCAGAGCTTTGGGGCTTGTGAAGATCAAACTGCGCTTTGACTTGGGACGTGCGCCACTATCCACATGTGTACACTCATCTGGAACAACATACAACTCTGTTAACATGGCAGCCAACCCCTGCATATATCAATGCACTTCAGTGCTGTACTCTACCTTCCATTTCCCTCATCACCTCCAACTCATCTGCATACATCATCTCAAACTCTTCCTCTGGGTCAGGAAAATCCATCTTTGCAATGTTTGTAGTCTTGCAGCAACTGTGAACAACACATAGTAGTGTGACACACAATTCAGCACACATAACAGACAACACTCTTTGGAAAAGAATCAGAGTTGGTGACCTCTTTCCACAGTCTTATGGTGACAGTAACTTAATTAAGCATCACTCCACAAAGACATATGTGGGATAAAAGTAAGGCTCCAGTCTTTCTTAATCTTCAGCACTAAAAGGAAGAGAGTGCTAAGATTCATGTCCCAGCCACTTTAACCCATTACTCTTTGGAAAGGAGACAGGGTAAGGTTCAGAAGCCAGTCTGGTCATAATAAGAGAGAAATCTCTGACTTTGATAGGAGCCCATAGCCTGGTCACTACATTGCCTGAGCTATCCCACAATTATTAAATCATGGCTAAAACATTTCCCTCAACACAACCTAACATGAATACTGAAAACAAAGCACTGAGCAATCATTTGACCCACACTCCAGCCTGTGGCCATGAAGCACTGCCTTGCATACAGAAACATATTTTGTAAGAAGTACAAGTAACAGGAAATCATTGTCCTAGCTATATAACTATCCTTATATAAGTATTATGTTTTTGGATATTATCCATCGTCTTATCTATTTTCTAAAATCCATCCTGTTTCTTTTTGAAAACATGTTTTGGATACTGGAATCTGTCACCATCCTCAGGTAAAATCTACTCAGTTCGGTCCAAAAGATAGAGCTAGCCCCTGTCTCGGGTCCGGAGTTAGGGGCTAGCTCTATCTATTGAAGTAGGTTGTGTTAAAAAAACAGGACGGTTTTTAGTAAATGGACAAGACGATGGATGTCCAAAAACATAATACTTGTAGCAATATACTATCATCAAACACTTTTAGATAGTAACTATCCTCATGATTGGTCTCCTTTAAAGAGCTCCTTCCACTAAACATTTCCTAGCATCAGTGATGGTGTCAGTGCTGGAACACCTGACCCAACAATGTTCTGTGTATCACAAAATGCAAACAGTTCCTGGACATCAGAAATAAGGTTTTTGGAAGAAAGCTAGGAAATCGGTCTCCAAAAATACTTTCTTTGACCACTATTATTAATTCTTCATTTTATTATTTGATAACGCTGCAATTCAAGTTGCGTGAAGTAGTGGGGTACAGAAAAGGTTAGGGTACCTCTGAATAACGAAAAGTAACTTAACACGTACTCCATGAAACCTATGCGTTATCTGGAATTAAAAAACAATTTCTATTCTCTTAAATACTTACCTTAGAGAAAACAATCTCCAAATGTCTTAACAAGTCTCAAAAATGGTGCTGTTCGTAATGCAGTATTAATCATTAACTTCCCGCCATGAAATTCTAAACGCTTACTACACGAAAAAATCAAGACTATTACGATTGGTCCAACCTGTCATTACGTATTTCCTCAATCGCTGTCAAGTATTTTACGGCAACCCTGCCATCTACATCCCACGTTACTAACGCATGGTTGCATTACCGGCGCCATAATTCAAACACCAAATCACTTCCTGCTCATAAGAGTATAATTAAATTATTTATAATTCAAATTTCCAAGGCTGTGATAATTAATATTACAGTCATCTGGCATATAATGCCGTGTAAGTTTGTTCATAGGTATCGACGTTTCGAAGGAAACTACTGTCCCATACCTAGGCAGATGATGAAGAGAGCAAGTTTCTCAAACATTATAGTGCCTCTTTACCAAACATATATTCACGCCTCCAGACCCTTAATCTTCATACTGATTTTTGTTCTACCGATCTTCAGTCCCTTGGCTTGTTATCAGACATCTACAATCAACTGTCCTAATTTTAAAATATATTTTATGACATGTAATATATGCAATAGCTTACAAATAAAATTGCTCTAGCTGAGCAGAAAATTCCCATTTATAACATGGAGTTTGCATGGAAAAGTTGTCATGAACATGACTAATTTTTTCTCTCATTTTATTTTACATGCAGGATCAAATGAAATGCACTGGGCTGCGCCATAGCTCAAGCGGTTAGTCGCTGGATTTCAACCGTGGTGGCCCGGGTTCGATCCCGGATCTGGTCAAGTGGGAGTTGTGGTGGACAAAGTGGCAGGTTTAGTCAGAGTACTTCGGTTTCCCTTGCTAATCTTCATTCCACCAATTGCTCCACAATCACCCTCACCTATCATCTGGGGCTGGTACAATAGACCAGAAGTGGCCGCAGTACAAGGGACTTAGTTCAACGCCACCAGCAATAAAAAAATGCAAGTATCAAATTTCTGGCAACCATTTTATCTAATAAAAATAGTCTCTATACTGAGTATGCATCGACAGAACACATTTCTAAGAGCACCAGAAAGTTTCTGCAAAGTTGTGAGGAACAGCTATTTATTGTCAGCCTTAGGATAAGGGTACCAGTCAATATTCTGCAGGTTACAAAAGTTACATTAAAAATTGAGATTTGGGGCTCTCACAATACTGACTACAAGGATTACTGTCTTCTGGGATATTATCCACCTAGGTGGGGGTACCATAAAGATGCAAGTAGCAGGTTCCTCTGAATTACTAGTACATATCTGCCAGCATACATGAGCCCAAAAGACACAAATCTCTTCATTCCGACAAGTATTTTTAATACCTGTTATTCCATTGTCTGTCTATTATGAAAGAAATTACTGAACTGCCAAACCTGCAGGGAAACAAGGTCAGGGGATTAACACCAAGAGGCATTGTGGCTTTCCAAACGCTAACACTCAAGCTTCCTTTATTAACAAACTCATGTGCTCAGTGAGACTGTGGTGTTCATATCTTAGCAACAAGAAGGTGCATCCTGCAGCAACAAAACCTAAAGGGAAGAGACTGCTTGGAGGGCCTATACATAAATGGGAAGACAATATTGAAGACAAAGGGAATGAGGATACGGACTAGGTTCAGCTGGATCAGGATATAATCCAGTGATAGGTTCTAGTGAACATGGTACTGAAACTTAGGGTTAGCGAGGAATTTCTTACCCAGCCGAATTACAGCATCTCAGAGACCATGCTCCATGGAATTAATTAGTCATGTGAAACAACTATGATGACCCTTTATACATATATATGTGTTATCCAATGGGTACAAGTAGATGGAGCTTGAAGCTGACCCTTCACCTCCCTCCAGCACCAAAGAAAACTCCCAACATCTGTATGGAATTGTGGCACACTGTATGTAAAAGATTATTCCATGTTTTAGAAGGTGCCCTGGGATTATGTTTCGGTTTCAGATATTGGAGAAATTGTGCACAAAATTATGTAATCTCTACAATTCGTATGTAACAAGATCAGTCGGGCTACCAGATCTCAAGAAATAAATGTCGTAACTTCCCTCAGGGGTGTACTCGTTCAATTCTGTCTCTTCCACACCCGATCCTAAAATGGTTTCAATGTGAAAACAATTACAAAATTGGATTTTGTGATACAGGGAACAAAGGTATCACAGGATAAAATGTAATGTTTTTATTAACTGCCCCAACCTCCACCAATCAAATGACGTTCAAAATATCCTCCTGCCTTGGTAGCCCTCTCCACACTGCCTCTTACACATGGAAGGTGTGATTTGCAGTTTTTCATCTCACCTACAGGTATTTTAATTTTAATTCTGGTGGTCACACACAAGAACCAAACCGAACCCAGTGAGTCTGAGAACATTAAACCATTCTTCTCCTCTATCAGAAAACTTCAGACATCATAACACTCCTGTACCAACCAACCATCAGGCCTTTTGCCAGAAACTTTACAAATTTACATCATGTTATGAGTGTGTACTGAGTATTATACCTTCGTTCTTTACATGCTTTGACATCTCTTCTAGCAGTCTGCACATATCAACAGCAGGAGGTAGGACTTTTTATATTTTTTCATACCAAATTAATCTGTAGTTAGCAGGAATGCGATTGGTAATAAAAAGGATAATAAAGGATCAATTATAGTGACATATCAGTCTACTGGCTGGTCAGGCATAAAGCACAACCAGAACCCAGGACAGAGAGGATTAATGACAAATTTTAGGGGGGGGGGGAAATTGTCATGGAATTTTATCCGACCAAAGGCATCAGGTTACTTTCTCATTTTCTTGAGCTTCTTCTTCCTTATCTTCTTGGGATTGGGTATTGTTTGCTTCAGTCTCAATGGCTGATAATGAAACTCCACTTGCTTACATTTCGTCTGAGTGCCTTTGACCTCTTCTTTGTCCTGCACAGCCAGTGGTTCATCTGACAACTTCCTGACAGAACTACTGCATGTTGCTTTGTTGGAGGTGGTAGATATATCCAGGGACAGGTAGTCTGCAGATGGCTGAGGTTCAGGTGGCAATTCAGGAACAAAGGCTCGCGTCTTCTTGGAACTGCGGTATTTGTAGATATCTGTGCTGACTTTCACTTGAGTGGGCTGTGGCACTGATGGTTGCTCTGCTTCATCATCACTTGGGCCATGCAGTACAGCATAACAGAAGGCAGGCAAGGGGTCTGGCACAGGAATCTTGTTGCACTGTTCAGATACTGCCTTGAACAGCATGTGGAAATGGCTGCCCTCTGACTCCACAGCAGATCTCTGAACACAGTGTTACATATCATAAACGTCTGAAGCATAAACCAAGTTGTAAGATTTGAGGCTTTCACGGCGGTGACTATGAAGAAAGCAGTCTTCTGGGATTTGGCACCGTGTATATGTGGTGTTAACCGACGTTTCGGAGGAACGTATCGCCTCCATCTTCAGGGTAGAAGAAAAAATATAAGAAAT